TTATTAATTAACAAAAAATTAATAGGTGTCAAGAACGAGATAGAAAAAATTCAGGAATTTCTAGAAAAAAATTTAAATACTTCATTTGGAAAGGAAAAAAATAAAAAAATCCACTCAAGTTATTTATTATTAAATTATTTAATTAATTTTACTAATTGTATTAAATTCTAAAAGAAATAAATTTCTTTACTATTATTTTCTTTTAAAAAAAATTTTTTTTTAATTAAAAAATTTGTAAAAATTAATTGCCATTTTTTGCAAAATCGTTTCGATGTAATTGATCAACATTGGTTTCTGAATATATATAAACAATTACTTGACGCTACACTGTCGAGAGCCGGTAAATTATCAATTTTTTTTTCGGAATCATGTCTAGACATTCCTTCGCGTGGAGCGCGTGACTTACTTTTTTTTGTTGATTCTTTTTTTTTTTTATTTAGCTCACATACGGTTTTGCAAATCCCAATGGAGAGGTGAGGCTGCACGTTGTAAGCAAGTGTGTGCGCCTTTTATGCATGAAACATTTAATGAAAAACATTTACTAAGGATACTTAATTGCTGCACTTTTTTTTTGTTTTTTTCTTTTTTTGATTCGATGTGTGTTTAAAGAGCAGTTGAACATGTTCACAGGTTCTTTTCATTTACACCTGCTGGATAAGAAGTGCAAATGATTGACAGTATGTGTATATATATATACTTGACGTGACAGTGATCGACAGTTTTGTACAAATGGAATAACACTGATTGACGTTTATCTTTTTCGGAAAAGAAATTATAAAAAAAAAAATTTTTTTTTTCCTTCTTAAAATTAGTAATAAACACAGGTTTACAAATTCGGGTCAACTTTACTACCCAAAACGTCAAGAAGGCGTATTTTTTACGCTAAATTCGATGACGTTTGGAAATTTTCCCAAGAACGTCAACTTTTTAAAAAGCGAATTCAAAATGGAGGAAAAAATAAAAAAATTCGATAGGATTTGCTTAATATTTGTTACGTGGGGTTCTTTGGAGTCACTGATTACAAATATGGTGTTCATTTTAGAAAATTCAAAATGGCGTATCCAATATGGCGGACGAATAAAGTTTAAAATCACTGCTTGAAACTTGTTCCTCGGTGGTTTTTGGTGTAATTTTGAAATATTAAAATCGGACCCCAAAAAGCTACGAGTAACAAGTTTCAAGCAAATCAGTAATTTATATTTTTTTCAACCGCCATGTTGGATCCGCCATTTTGGATTTTTAAAAACAAACATCGGATTCGTTATCAGCAGTACAGAAAATATTTAAAGTAGTAGATTATGACTTTTTTCGGATTCAAATTTTGATTTGTATTAAAAATTGTTTTAAAAAAAAAATAAAATTAGAATTAAAATAAAAATTGTAATCTAAGCAGAAAAAAATTTTTGTTTATAAATATTTTCTCGAGGCGAGCGACTGTGGTGAGGCAACTCTAAGTGTCCTTGGAAAGTACTAACAGTGAAGTCGAGTTTGGATTCGGTAATTGACTTAGTAAATAAATACGGAACTGCGAGACCTATAATAGCGAATTGCTTAACTAGGGCGCGCTTGTGTGTAAAACGCACATATTCTCTCTCTACCTCTTTCTCTCTCCTTTCACGTGTTCTGTCTGCGAGCATTATTCCAGTATCTGGTAGTAGCCTCTATATTAATTGCTTATTTTGCAACCCTAAAGGTATAAAACTAAGCTGATATTTTGAATACGCATAAATTATAAAATATTTTATATTATTGAATATTTTTTACTCAATAGAAAATTATTTATTGTCAAATTATTCTTCAGCGTAAAAAAATTATTTAATATAAAATTATTTTTCGATATGAAATAATTATTTATTGTTAAATTATTTGGTGTTGTAAAATTATTTACTAAAGAATTATTTCGCAGTGGAAAATAATTTACTGTAAAATTATTTCTCAGTAGAAAATAATTTACTGTAAAATTGTTTCTGAACAAAACATGACTTACTGTAAAATTGTTTCTCAACAGAAAATAATTATTTATTCTAAAATTAGTTTTCAATATAAAACAATTTATTTGTCGTAAAATTGTACGGCAATAAAAAATTATCCGTTGCAAAATATTATTTTCCAGGATAAAATAATTATTTAAAGTTCTTTTATTTTAATTATTTTTTATTCACTATTTCAATTTTTTTTATTTCGCTATTTTATGTACAATTATAGTTTAATAATTAATTATTCTAATTATTATATTATCATATTATTATTATAATTTAATAATTAATCAATTAATTACTAGACGGAGAGCACTTGCGTTTTCGTTGAAGAGAAAAATTTTTTTTCTCTCCTTTTCCCTCTCTCTTTTTCTCTCTAACCAAGAGATCCATCATTGGTACAATGTATAATTCATGATCGTCTGGCAAACATTATACGCGCTCGATTCCCACTATTAATTTGCATTTGCGATAACGGAACGCCATATATACATTTATACATATGCCGGCAACTGATATGAAGGAATTACGCATTGAAGATGCGTGCGAACATATGGCACGTGCAGTATTTAAAATCAGACAAGAAATACACTGGAGACATTATTTCAAATGCGTTTTTATTAATTGACAAACTTTCATTTTTTTTATTGTAATTTTTTAGTAGTTTTTTACATTTGGAATATTTTCAGTCATTAGTAGTTGTATTTTTTTTAATTGTGGCAATTTTGTTCTCTAGTTGGTTATATTTTATTTAATTAATAAAAACAAAAAAATTCTTAATAGTGAGTTCGTTGAGTGGTTAATAATTGTCGAATTATGAATATCTTGAGAGATTAAAAATGGCGATGCTTTTTTCCACCTGCGAACGCCAAGGTCACCGTTAGATGGCAAGTGAGTCGATATAATAAAATCCTCGCCACCTGGTGGCGACCTTGGCGTTCTCAAGTGGAGAAATTAAAACCACCATTTTATCCCTCAGGAAATTTTATATAATTTAGAGAAAATAATAAAAATTATTAATTACTTTGATCAAACTGAACTATTAATTACTTTCGGTTTGTTATAATAATAAATCGTAGAATAAATTCTTAGCAAAATAAATTGTAAATACCATAAATAACTAGTGTAATAAATAGTATAGAAAATAGTGGGTAAAATAAATAGTTATGACAATAAATAATTAATATAATAAATAATAATATAATAAGTATTATAAATACAAGAAACAGTTAGTATAATACATAATTACTAAAATAAACCGAAAAATAAAAATTGCAATAAACATTTAATAGACATAACATAGAAAAATAGTTATAATAAAAAAGTCATAATAATTTAATAATAAAGTGGTAGAATAATTAAATAGTATAATAGAAAAATAAACAATTAGTAAAGTAAACAATAGAATATATGATTAAATATAATATATAGTTAAAAATAATGAGTATAGTAAGCAACGAGTTTAATAAATAAACAGTCGGTATAATATACAGTACGAAAACCTACCACGTCAGTCATGTCCCATGAGTGGGAGTGAGACAGACTTATGCGATTCCCATACTTTCCTATGACTGACGGATAGCTTTTCTTACTGTATACATATATTAGTAGTCACGCAAAGAAAAATCTGTGAGTCAATATATGCAAGCAACAGTATTCACTACTGCACAATATTATTCGGATTCCCTTCAGAAGGATCATGTTACATTTTGCAAGAATGTTCAACCATTGGAACATTCATTCTCTCTATAGCCATGATTTTCTCATCAGAGATCAATTTCTGCAAAATGGAAGTGCACTTTTGCGGCTCGTGTGTTGTGACGTTTAATTTTATTTTACGCCACAAACGTGGTCAGACATTTTGGCACGTAGTGCAAGTCAATTAGAAATTAATGCCGACAGGGAGCAGAGAAATTATGCTATTAATGTATTCCCTCTCTCGAGAGCTCGGATAGATAATAATCATTCCTCAATGATTGTCTATAATTTCCCTACTATCTATACATGTATACGAGGGAAAATATTAAATTTTCTGCAATTTTTATAATTGCATTATTTTACAAAACAAACAAGACGCTCTCGTTGTTTCAAACGTCAAGGTTTTAATCAAGGAATTATCAATTTTTATAGTTCTTCTGAACAATTTTTGGTTAGAGATGAAAAAAGGGGAGGAAAATAATTGGTTATGTATTTAATATTTATACTATTTATAATTAAGATTAATTGTAACAAAATAAATAAATATCATGGGAAGAATAAGCTTTATAGTAGTTTAGTTTAGCGACTGGTTAATTATTGCAATAAGAGGATCAATGCGACAATAAACAACAAATCACATTCATCTAAGCGTGGGTTATAAAATCAACAGACTAAATCTCAGGGAGTTAATTATGCCGGCGGCTATTTTATCGAGAGTCAAGAGAAGACAACAATTGTGCCTTGCGCGACCGCACGTAGTGATTTGCATCCGTGGATTCCTTTATATACCCCCTTGAAACTTGAAGCAGATGGTTCGCCGACCGGTTAATCGCTCGACCCTTGTCTATATCCTCCTTTAACGATTCCCATCCGTGTTGCCCCTCTGTTTCTATTTTATAATCGATCTCTCTCTTTCTCTCCTCTCCCTAACCGCGAGCATCGATTTCTCAAGATCGCTGCTTCAATTTTGTTCCTATATATGCACACATGACCGTTTTCATAAAAATAATTCGTGTCCACGGAAAAAAGTTGCGTGGAAACTAATTTTTTCTGTAATGGTTTCAATTAAAAATTTGAAAATAGTTAAATCTACAATTGCTTTTAGTTAACCATATTTTCAACTTTCATTGGTTGCAAACTAACAATAGTTAACATTACAATTGATTACAGTAGAAAACTACAATTATTTTTAGTTCCAATTTAGAACTACCACTGTTGCAACTAACTAAAAAAGTAATTTAAAAAAGGAAGACAGAATCAGGTAGTTAACGAATAAATAAAAGTATATAGTTTTTTAATAATACAAAAGTCATTAACCAGAAATCTTTTATTTTTTCATTAATTTTGATTACAATAAACAATAACATAGAAGAAACAATATTACTGATGTACATTAATTAAAAAATTGCTTACTCAATATACTGAGTATGTAACTAACTGTGCACTTTTGAATGAATAGATAAAAAAGTTGAGAACTATTTTTCAAGTCATAGATTGCCAAAAAGTGTCGAAATAATTTTAATCTTTTGAAAAACAGTATTACTTATTTAATTAAGCAACTACTAACTTCTTCAGAAATATTGCTCGTATTCAAGACTTCAGAACTAAGTTCCCTACTTATCGATGAACTGTTTTTTTTCGTGTAATTATTACAACTAGAATAAAGAGCAGTTTCCCTTATTACTGAATAGATTTTATTAAACGAATCAGCATCATTTGAGACAATCTTCGGTATTTTCGAGTATGAAAGTTCTGATTGATTTAAAATTCTAGCTTCATTATTATACATTTCAGAGTAATCGATTTGTAACATTGCGTTAATCCATTTTAATGTCTTTGACAAATATTCAATAATAACATTTTTCTCATTTTCAACCATTTTTTTCATATCCTCAACATGATCTTTTTTCATATCTATTAATTTTAGCATACCTTCCATATAATTAATTTTTAAAAAGCAAAAGAATTTAATAAACGGAAAGATATTCGAATTCATACAAAAATACTTCAAATTAACATTGTCTGTGATATTTATTGATGTTATGTTTTTATAAGCAAAGTCTGTAAGAGTAGCAATGTAACTTAAATTTTCTATTTCAGTTATGCTAAATTTAATGTCAATTCTCCTATTTAATTTCTGAAGAGATGAGCACGGTAAATCGTCGAATAAATAGTCTGTATCGTAAGAAATTTGTTTTCGTTTTAAATAATTGTAAAATTCATATTCATATTCAAGAGAATTATTTCCTTTATTATGTGAATGGGGATTATTAATAAATTCTGTTACATTATTGTAAAAAGTGGCGTAGAATAAAAAATATTTTGGATAGTTTCTGTAAACTTGGTGATGCAGATCTATTAAATATTTGGGACTTAAAAAACGATTCCTACAATTTGTTGTAAATAAGTAACAGTTGTCTGTTAGAGCAGGAATGACAAAATCAGGACTGACTTCATCAAGAGTAAAATATTTGGAAGCATTTACAAAATAAAATAAGACTTTGGAATAATCTCCTATCATCTTGTACTCGAAGTAGGTAATCAATATGTCGTGATATCTATTTTCGATCAATGGATAAACATAATAATAAGTATCATTTGATTGAAGTAGATAAAAATGTTTCATTATTTCATCATACACAAACTGTTTTGTATAATGAAGATCTCCTCTTTTTATTTTTGGTAGTACTTTTTTGCCTTCAATGTTAATAGTTTTCCGCACTCCTATGAGCATACTATCAGCTACGATTATTACTAATCTCTTGAACTTCATCTCAGGAAGTAAGGCATCAATTGTATCCAAATAATTGTAAAATAAACAGGGTGAACTTAACATAGACTTGCTACTACTCTTTTCTCTCTGTAGGCAAAAATATTTAGAATTAATAATTATTATTTGTTATTAATCTCAATACATTTTTAATATTATTATTTAACGTTGCTTGTAAAACCTATAGCACCGAAAATATGTACCGAATAAATATTCAGTAATATTTGTCGAATAGTAAAAGCATTACAAAGTCGGCAATTGTTTCTATACAAATAGCAACTTTTCCTTTTTTTGATAATCATAATCAAATCAATTAAATTTTTTATTAAAAATAATTTTTAACTATATTTTTTTAATACGGGAAAATTTACTATTAACAACATTAAGTCCAAGTTCAATTTGAAATTAGAAAATTTACTACACAAATTTTTCTAAATTTTATACAATCAAGTTTTATGTTCAAATTTATGTTTTTACTACAGTATAGTTTGCACGATTTTTATTATATTGTTCTACGAGAAAAATTTGTTTACATGGAGGGAGATTATTTATTAATTATAATATATTACTTGCCATCAAATTTGAAATCAAGTTGTAAGCATTACTCATTACTCTCCTCCAATTTCCACTTTCATTCACCATTTGTTTTTCCAAAATTTCAAGTTTGAGTAAAATGAAATCATTTTCCAAGAAATATTCAGATTGATAGAAAGATATTAAAATGTTGAACCACACAAGTTTTTTTATCAATGATGTAGCTACAAGTTGTTTTAGGGTATGCATCCACGCTGCTCTACTGTCGTAGGATGTAATATCTGATATATCTTTTATAAAACAAAATAATTTAAATATATGTATTTTGTGTTGATTTTTACAAATGTTGCCAAATGAGGTATCATTCACATTAAGTGAAAATACAGTGCGTTCAATCCATTTTAAATAATTAATTCCAGTGAAAGGGTGTTTTAGATTCTTTTCGTGAATATTGTCGTAAAAAATTTTATTTGTAACATCTAGATTTCTTGACTTGAAGCACTTTAGGCTTCTTTCAAAAATACTATTCTTTTTACTTTCATCAGAATTGTTTTTTTTTTTGAATTTGTTGCAGCAACGTGTTAAAACGAATTAAAAAACTTTCGCTCTCAGAATTATTGTTAAATCCAATCGAATCACAAGCGTAATCATTGTCGAATGCTTTCAGGGATATGTACTTTGTTTTTTCTCTAAACAATTGTTCTCGTAATATGAACAATTCGGAAAAACTTTCACCTGTCTGTAGTTTTTTGTTAACGTATTCAAGCAGAGGGCAATTTGTACAATTTGGTTTTAGAGGAACTAAAATATCTTCAAAAAAAGGATGCTCTTCCTTTACGTTGACAAAATCAAAGGTAACACCCAACTGATCGCTTAATAGCATTTTTTGACAGTAAATGGTGAAAAAATTGTCTAGATTGTTTACTGGATAAACAAAATAGTATACATTGTGAGCTTTAAATAGATAATAATTTTCAGCTATCAATTTATACATCTTTTTTAAATAATTGCTGTTTTTAATTTCATTAATGATTGATATTCTTTTGCTCTGAGATATATTTCTAACTCTGTTTATTCCGTCAGTAAATTCACGTGATATGATTACTATTAATGGTTTATAAGTTTTTTGGAATAGCAAGTGATCAATTAGAAGGGAATAATCGTAAAAAGTACAGACATCAATATCCAGCGTGGATTGGTTTCTTCCTTTATTTTCTACCTGTAAAATATCGATTTTAAGAAACATTTGTAAATTTTTATCACCTCATTCTACTAGAAAAGTTTTTTTTTCCAAGACACTGAGATTATTTTAAATCAAATATATTTTTTTAATCAAAACTTAGAACGTCTCTTCTATACAGTTAAACATATTAAATTTTAATTCAATAATTTTTTTTGTGTGAATCAACTTTTCAGTTTGAATCAATCATACATTTTTTAATTCTATTTTTCGTTGAAACCAAAACAGAATATATGATTTAATTAAATATAATTATTCAAACTAAAATTTTTTTTGAATCAAAGCATATACAGTACCGTCCGCAATTGTCAGTCCACCCATTTTTAAAGGAATGACAAAAATTTTTTAACATAAAATTCATGAAAACTAAAATTTTTTTTGGTTTATATTTTGAAAGACGATAAAATTTTGAAAAGAATAAGACCTTACAGAAGTCATTTGGCCAAAATTTGTAGAAGATATTCTTAAAAATCGTCATTTTCAATGTTTTACAAAAATTTAAATAACTTCTAAAATAATGAACGCTTTTTAATAATCTTAGGCTTATTTTAAATGTCTTTTTCTACGGAATAAGAATTACTTATAGGCATTAACCTGTCATTTTTAACTTGGAATAAGCATGACGTCAAAATTAGACAAAAAAATTGGAAAAATTTGAAATCAATTTTTTGTACTAAAAACTATTCTAGAACATATATAAAACATGATATGGTGTAGATTTTTCAAGAAAATTTAATAAAAATATATGTTTGAATTTCAAAAATTATTTTTCTTTTAATAATATTATTTCAAATTTTTTGAATTTTTTTGTCCAACTTTGACGTCATGCTTATTCCAAGTTAAAAATTACAGGTTAATGCCTATAAGTAATTCTTATTCTGTAGAAAATGGTCTTTAAAATAAGCCTAAGATTATTAAAAAGCGTTCATTATTTTAGAAGTTATTCAAATTTTTGTAAAACATTGAAAATGACGATTTTTAAGAATATCTTCTACAAATTTTGGCCAAATGACTTCTGTAAGGTCTTATTCTTTTCAAAATTTTATCGTCTTTCAAAATATAAACCAAAAAAAATTTTACTTTTCATGAATTTTATGTTAAAAAATTTGTGTCATTCCTTTGAAAATGGGTGGACTGACAATTTCGGACGGTACTGTATGTATTTTCTATATATTAAGATTAGGCGCTTATAAAGTGACTTTAATTAAACAAAATCATTTGAAATTATTTTTCTATTTCAATTATGTTTGTTTTCTAAGTGAACTCAGCTATATGCCTTTATAGATATGACAAAAATTTTACCTTTTTTATATTTTGTATGTAATACATACAAAATTATTTAATAACTCATCACGACTGTTTGATAACATTTTTTTAAATTGTGTGCAGGAATTATCAATTTTTCTATAAATCTTTTGTTGCTTTTTTTTAAAACATCAAATCTTATCATTAATGCAAAATGCAAAAATTCAACAAGTGAAGTTATATCTTATATTACATATGTAGAAAAATAATTTTATATTATTAGAGTAATCGAAAATGTTTTTTCAAGTTTCTTTATTTCTGAAAATATTATTATACCAAAAAAATTTTATTTGATTCAAATAACTAATTGCTTGTCTAATGTCTATTATCAAATGAATAATTACTTGTTTCAAGTAATTTCTATTTACATAAAATAAATTGTATTTTAACCAACAATGTCCGTATTTGAAGCAAATAATATTTAATTAAATTAATAAAGAAAATTTTCGATTCCAGTAAATACTTATTTGACAATGGACAAGTAATCTGCTGTTTGAATCAAATAAATTTTTCTTTAGTGTATTTATCAAATATATATAAAAAGGAAAATAATCAAAAGTAAAACAATACATTATCAAAACCTTTTGTTTTTCTTCATTCTTTTTTGAAATTTGTACAAAATAAAAGTTATGAATAGACAATTCAAGTGAAATTTTTCTACGATTTCACTAATTTTTTTTAGAAATGATAATAAATTTTCCATACTATTTTTTAAAATTTAGTAATAGTTTTGAAGTTTAACTTACATAGCTTCCTCTCAAGATTGAAATTTGCCCTACTAGCACTAGCAAAATCAAATCGAAGGCCAAGAAAATTTTCCTGCAGCAGTTCATGATTGGTTGTTGTGCAAATATTTACTATGAAACACGTACTGATGTACTTTTAAAATAAAAAAATTCTCTGCCAAAAAAATAATAAAGATTAAACAATATTTTAACAACTTTTCTTTTATGACTTTATTTTTTAATATTTCGTAAATCAGAATCTCGTGCACGAAAAATATAAATATTAAACACCTGCCTATGCCAAGGTTAACTAAATTATTAACATGAATATTATTTTTTTGTTTCAGGTGAGTCAAATTAATTCATATCTCAGCCTATTACGTAAGTGAATTTTTTTCGATGATTTATTTACAGTAGAAAAAAAAATTGTCAGATCTTTTCGATAACTCTTATAATGATAATTGCGTTTGAAAAAATTAGTTGCCTCTATGTATATATATAAGTAAATAATGTTTGCAATTTGAAATGATTTAATAACATATTTTCACGATGGGAAAATGAGAATGAAATATTTCTTGTTGTTGTCTATCGTGACGGTAATTTACTGAGCAATATTAATATTCACATTTCAAAAAAAAATGGAAAATGATTTATACTGTACTTATCAGTAAATATTAGAATTCAAGCATTTTAACAATCTAGCCGATAATTAATTTTTACAATATATTTTCTCTCTTTGCTTTGTTGAATAAGAACCTTATTTTTATTTCTCATAGATAAAAAGGTAAAAAAAAAAGATTTCTGTTTTAATACCTTACGTTCATAATTCGCAGTCATGCAATTAAGTTTTCTACAAAAGTCTATAGGGTTTTTTTTTTATTTCGAACTTTACTATGCTAAACGCGGAGAAATTTGCTATTAATTGCTCTAGAGTGTTTATATATACGTTTCTACTTGTAAAGTTCAGTGATATATGATACGCGTCGCCTCTCGCTTCTATTTTGCCTCGTCGTTGTCGTTGTTGTACTTGGAAATTTTATTCCTTTCGTGTTTTCTAAAGTGTGCGCGCTAAAGGTAGAAATTGAAAAAGTCAATGGTTTTATGGTATATTGGTATTATATAGTGCTCTTATATATACGGCCTTTTTCCACTCGGAGAGTTTTATATTAACTTAATTGGTGTACTATGAATTCAATTGAAAAACAAGTTTGAATTGATATATTAATGATTCGTAAATGACTTTTCTTAGAATTTTCCTTGTGTGGTTGATTTGCCAGACGATTTTTCGTTGCTATTTTTAGAAAATGTTTCTCTTATTGAGTAACTGGTTTTCAATTGTGTAATGATAATTTCGAATGATAGTATAATAATAGGCTAGAGTGGGGTGAAAGAGACACTTTTTTTATTTTTAAAGCTTTAAAATCGGAAATTCAATTTTTTTGCAACTAGTACTGAAAGTTTTGTTATTAAGCTTCAAAATCATTGTCAGACAATTTTTTTATCCCACGAAAAGGGTAAGTTATAAGAGTTTTACGAAAGCTCTACAAGTGTCTTTTTGCCCCACTTGCAGGGGGGAAATATCCACTTTGCGATTATGGCAATATATTATGTTATAAATTTTTGTGTTTTTATATTTTTCTTCTCACAATTTTCTAAGGAAATCAATTTGATATCCTTAGAAAAAATGTGTTATTAATATGAGAAATAAATTTTTTAAATAATTGTGGAATGAGGTAGAAAAATAGTAAAATAAAAAAGTAGAAGAAAAAAAATTGTAAAGAACTGAAAAGAATGAAAGAATGGTGGAAAGAAGAAAAAAATAATAAAATAGGAAATTAACTATATTAATCTTCGTATTCTTTCATTCATTCTGTTCTCAGTGTGAAGTTGGTTTTTGTGTAAGCTTTTGTTTGTTTGTTTTTATTCTTTAAAAAATATTGTTTGACAAATTTTTCATGATTCATAATAAAATAGTATTAGAAATTAGAAAATTGTTAAAAAATTATGATTAAGAAATAGGAAATAAATACTCATTTTATGCATAATTTTTATTTCTTAATAATATTCTTCACAAACTCATTCTTTTATTTTGGGGAAAAAATATTACATATTTTTGTAGGAAATTTTCAATTTTCATAATGAAATAATTTACATCATTTCTATTTCTTAATTATAATTGTTTTAATAAAATTCAAAGCGTTTTAAAAATAAAGGGAAAAATGTTCTATTACATTTATTTGCGAATTTCTTTAATTGCAAAATTATTCAAAAACATTAATAACTTCTTTTTTAAATAAATTTTTAATTAGTATTATTTTTCCATAGGAATGAAGATTTTCAAAAATTTCAAATTCAAAGCTTTTTGAAATTAAACATCTTTAAAAATATTGTTATAAAACATGAAGATATCGATTGCTCCGAGTCGAAGACTCGGAGTGATCGATGTCTTCATTTTTTATATTAATTAAAGATATTCGAAAGATAAAATAATTATTTTATATTATAAGAATATTGTTACTGTAACTTCTTCAAAATTATTTTCATATTCAATTTTTATCTAAAATTTTAACTAAAATTCATTTTTAAATTAATTTTTATTAGAAATCTCTGCTAGAAATCAATTATTTAAATACAAAAATAAATTATTTATTGAATAATTGAATGTTTCTTAAAATTTAATTCTTATAAAGAATTTTATTGACAAATTTTTAAATAATTGAATTCTTTTGACGAATTTTAATAAAAATTTTAAGAATAGTTACAATTTTTAAGGACTTCGATTAAAATTGTATTAAAAATAATTGAAATTCTCCTATGAGTTTTATTATTTATAAAAATTATTGAATTCCTAAAAAGAATTTTATTATTTACAAAAATAATTGAATCCCTGTAAAATTTTATTATTTATGGAAATAATTAAATGTTTGCGTACAATTTTATAAAAAAATTTTTTTAAATAATTTATTTCTTTTGGCTAGTTTTATTAAAATATGTATTGAAAATTAGACAAGAATTTTATTAAAATTTTTGAAAAGTAATTGAAATTTGAAGAAGAATTTGATTATTTATAAAGATAATTGGGATTTTGATGAAATTTTTTTTTAATTTTAAACATAATAATAATAATTTCATAGTTTATGAGGCAAACAAAAAAGGTACAAAAATTCAGAATTTTCTTATGAATTCTAAAGCTTCAATTTTTTTCATTACCTAATTTTAATAAAAATCCCTGACTTTTCCCTGAATTCCCAGTGTCAGAAGATATGATTATTATAGTTATAATAATATTAAAACTATATTCCAATTTATATTTTATTTTTATGAAAATAGATTTGAATTAAAATTTTTTACGTTCTATTATTTTTAAAATTTCTAATTTTATTTAAAAAAAAGTGAGTTAATTAGAATTGTTGCTAATAAAATGAAGAAAGTAAGAAAGAGTTAAAGAATGAAAAAGAGAAGGAATGTAGGAACAGAGGATGAAAGAATGAAAGAGAGAATGAAAAAGGGAAATAAAGAACGATAATGAAAGAATGTTATCAGGAAGTTTTTAATAACTGGCTATGAGACTTTCCCAAGGAAATTTTCTCGCTGTATGCATATTCATGGGAATATTAAGTGGGACATTTATCAATGATTTTTTGCCTTTAATAAAAACACTTGATGATGTCTTTGGCTTAACGAGGCGTTTCCTTTTTTCCAATAAGTAAATCTCGATCGTTGCATCGCTAATCCAGTGAGTAAGTTCGTGAACGCAACGACTGCTTCTTGATAGCTCCTTAGAATTATAGCATTCTGATTCAGGGGTGCATGTACCTATCCGTAGTGAGAGTATTACATACAATATATATAGTAACTTCAAAAAAAAAAAAATAAAAATTATTATGTAAAAATATTTTACCACCGTTGAGGCAGGATTTTTCAAGAACCGTCATGTAACGACTATTGATCTGCAGATCAAGAAATAGATCAAATCTAAATTTTTCCGTAACGTAACGGCCCCTTGGGAAGCCCTTAATGGGAGACGAAACGTATCGGCCCCTTAAGAAAGGCTCTTAATGGGGGACGTAACATAATGGCCTCATTTTAACCTGTAGGTAAAAAAAAAGTGTGAAATTTGACTTAAATTTTGACGTAACGTAACGGCCCCTTAAGAAAGGCTCTTTATGGTGGACGTAACATAACGGCGCTTATAGGGCCTTCTTTCGACCAGTAGAAAAAAAGCAGTAACCTAAAGGCCCCTTAAGGGGGACGTAACGTAACGGCGCGCTAACTCCTTTTAACTTTCAGGTAAAAAAATAGTAACGTAACGGCCCCTAGGCGAGGGGGGGGGAATCCTGACTTAACGGCATTTTTTCTATATAATAGAAAGTATTTATATATTGAATATATACAGTGAATTCAGTATATAATATACTATATACACACCCCGAGTTTGTTGGACGTACATATTCATTTTCCCTCTTTTATCAACGATCTAGATGTGTGGTCGCGCAGTTTTAGAAGAATGTGATGCATTCTTCTGCAACCCTATGGGGTATGTTGATACGACGCACTAGTGCGGTGTGAATGCATGTTAATGAGCTGCATTTGCTCATCTCATCTCTCTTTCTCCCTCTTTACTTTACATATGTATGTATGATTAGATACGGAGGCAATGAAAATTTCTCATTTACACCTTTAGCGAACCTTGCAAATTATTATTATTATTTTTATTTATTTTTTTTTTAACGAGCTCGTTAACCTGTAGTAATTATGTCGATGTATGGACGATGTAAAGATTGAAAAGAAAAGAAAAAAGAAGGGAAAAAAATTTACTGTCATATATAGGTGTGAAGTGTGTATGTGTGGGGAGAAATTCAAGTTTTTCACGTTTCTTGAAATTTCAAATTAGCTGCAAATTGCAGGAAGTATCGTTTTATTATACCCACCATCGCATTATTGCACTAAGCTGTTGTATTTATTAATTGCCAGTGATGTCTTCATGATTTATCACCAATTTATCATTCATCGTAGATTATTTAAGGTTTTTATTGTGGTCGTTTTAAATTAAATTTTACATTAATAAGAGATTTTTTTTTGTTTGAAATTAAATTTTCAAATTGAGTAGTTAATTTATGTAACTGTATTAATATTTCTGTTTTTAATTTATTT